GGAGGATTTCTAGCTAAGGAGATAAAAGGCAGCTATGAGCAAGAGTCTGATTGGCTTTCAAATAAATGCTACAGTAAGGTTCATGATGCTGAGAGGGTTTAGTTCTGAACTAAGTAGACCAAGTTAACCATCCTTATTCACTCCTACCCTTAATGAAGGTCAAGTTACTTAGAGTATAATTCACCTATATTTATTAGTGTCAAACCATATGCAATCTATCTCCTGGGTGCTGTGGAACCCTTGGGCAGGGTCCCTTCTGGCTGCAGACAACCTGCATTGCTGCCAAGAGTTAAAACAACGGATACATATCACTGAACAAAAATGAAAGCTACTCTGGCTAATCTAATCGCTCCCTTCTTCTCTACTATTATCCCAGTTTCCTGAAATGAGATAGCATCAACTGAGGTATTTAAGTAAAATATCCTAAAAGCCTGTGTTCCTGAAACTGCATATTCTTTCTTTTCTGGAAAGAAACCTGGTAAGTAGCTTCTTCACATTGCAAGCCACTGTCAGGGGTGGGCGAGGGCTCCTGGCGTTTCAAGGTTGTAAGCTCTCATTGTCATCCTCAGTGTATGCATGGTTAAGAGGTTGGAACCATGAATCAGAATCCAGTCCTTCTGTGTCACAGGCTTTGGGACTGCTTAGGGCCTCCGTGAGACCCTCTACAAAATCATAGTTTTAGAAAGACCGTGAACCGCTAGCTGAGTCCCTTGTCATAGTGAATCAGCATCAAGCTTTCCATGTGTGCCAGGCAGCATTATTCTTCTTCTTACCATGTAGGGGAAGTACTGGGCCTGTGAGGTTTCAGTCTGACTCTCATGGAGGGCAACCCAGTGTGACAATGATTTCCCTCTGCCCATGATGGTCTATTCTGAACATTTCTTTCCTGGTTGTGATTCATGGGCCTGAATACCTGTGACCCTGTGGTACTCCTTCTGAATGGATTTCTCTGCTTGGCTCATTTATAATGCAGAATTTCATCTTGAGAGAAAGTTCCTTGTTTATTGTCCTTTGCTCACCCTCTCAAGGGTGACTACGGTGGGGCAGACAAGCAGGCTTCAGCAACTAGAGCTTGTTTGCACAGCAACTATATTTATCCTATGAAGAACAGAAAATGTACAACAGCTCGCAGCCTCTCCCCCACAAAAAAGATCTCTCAGAAAAAGTAAAGTTCATATTACCCTAAGAAAGATCGTAAATTGTTTTGTTCGTGGTTTCTCATTTCCTGTGACTTTGAGAAAACTTGACCTAGCCTTGTTTTTTTCTTTTAATATATTTTATTGGAAGGAAAGAAGTGGTGCTCTCTCGTCACTAAGCAACATGAATAGAGAAGAACGCCCGTGGTCGTTTGTTGTATAAACAGTGCCATAATGAAGATAAAGAACTAAAATCCTGACCTTTCTCCATTCCTTCATAACCAGACTCAAATGCCACGGCAGTGTCTGAACACATTAATATAATGGAAGAGATAGCATTCAGGCCCTGAACCTTGACCTTCACAAGCAGAGGGGAGAATGCTAGCATATTAGTTGTTTTATGAGAATGGACGACATAATTTTTATCAGTAGGTTGGAGCAAAATATACAGGTAATCTCTGCTTCAAATATTCACTCCATGATTTCGTTCTCTGGCTGAGTTTCAAAGGGCTACCTGGCCAGTAACTTTGTGCTTGTAATTTAAAAGGTTGTCTGGTGTTGCTTTTCATCGTAAGGATCCGGTGATAGGGAGCCACTTAAATACTTGGAGATACATGAGTCTGTTTTCTTATCTAACAGATGAAAAAAGAGAGAAGTTAATTGGTTTTCCCAATGTTGCCACATTTAACAAGTTCCAGGGCTGGTACTAGAATTCACTTGTGTTAATATGCAAAATTTGGGGAGCCTAAATAATAAATTTCCCACAGTGACATTTCTTCTCTGAAATGGACAGTAAACTGACATAAAAAGAAAAAAATTATTTGATATTCATTTCATAAATATTTATTGAGTGGTCATTATACGCTGTATGGTAATTAGCAGAAATAAAGTCTTTTGAGTTGTCAGAATGGCCATTGGAGAGAAGTCTTCTCTGTCTTAACATAGTCATTTTTATTCACTTGTTCATTAAGTCATTCATTTATTGATCCAGCAGACATTTATTGAGCATGTATTATATGCTAGGTATTGAGTTGGGAGCTCGGAATACCGAGATTCTGAAAAAGCTAGTCTCTGCCTCAGAGAGCTCATAATCAAACAAGGGAGAATGATACATAAACAGATCATTTCAATGTCACATGCAATGTTAGAATGACATGCAGTTTGTTCTGGAATCATAAAAAATGTGTTTATAATGCAGTTCAAGGATGGGATGGTGAGTCAGGAATGTCTTCTGGAAGAGTGGACCTGAGCTAAGTCTTATCGCAAGGAGTTATCTATACGAATATTGAAGAGGTAGCAGAGGAAAAGGCATTGCAGGCTGAGAATCAGCATGCACAACAGCTGGGAAGTAAGAAATAGTGTGCTGTGTGAATATGCAGCCCAGTTTTGGTGAGACAGAGAGGCAGAACAGTGTAGTCATTGAAAATGTACTCTACATGGACCTCATACAAAGACTGGCTGAAGAAAGCTCCATCCCCATGTTTCAGTGATTGCCTAGGGAAAGAAGGGACTGGAGAATTCTACACTGAGTCTTAAATCTTCCACTTGTGAGTGATATATTGTTCTTGCTAATATTTCATTGGTCAAAGCAAGTCACATGACCATGTCTACTTCCACAGACGACAGGGAAGTGCAATCCTCCTATTTGAGCCAAAGGAGAAGATATTGATGAACTATGATTATCACAGCAACTGAACTACTAGTTATTGTCAGAAAGGAATATTGTCTGATGTAGTGCTGGAAGATGAGCCCCCTAGATTGGAAGGTACTACTCAATGGCTGCCATGGTGGACTCAAACATTGTAACAATCATGAAGATGGCACAGGGCCAAACAACATGTTCATTATGTTTTACACAGGGCTGCCATGAGTTGGAGCTGACTCAACAGCAACTAAAAACAATTATCAGAAAGGCTAAAAAAATAAGGCTATTATATTTGATAGGTGTTACCTAACTTTTATGTGGTTCATAAATAACTCCCCCACAAAAAGTGACCTCATTTTGTTCCTTGGGTCCTATTTCCAAGTAATTTGTTTTGGAGGCACATGAAAGAGCCGTTTTTCTCAGAATTAAATATTCTTTTGGTTGACTAGTTTGCTTGAAGTGGTCAGCTGGTTTTTTCTATTTTAAAAAACTGTGCTTAAACTGTTTTACTAGAATGGTGGGATCATGTTTCCCATTTTTTTGTGCATCTATAAAAAAGATACCAATGAAACTTCCAGCTCATCTGTAATGGGAAATGAGTGTACACTTACAACTATACTCTTGCCACTTGGCAGAGGGTACTTATTATTACCCAGTACTTATGAAAAATTCAGTTGATCCACGTGTGTCAAGTCCATTACTTTCCTCGGTTATTCTAAAATTCACACCCTGGATCAAGCAGGATTAGTTGGAAGCTGGAAGCTTAAATTACACTGTAATGGTTCCCTAAAGAATTGCTTTTTCTTAAGGATGTTTTGGTGTAATGCCATAAGCCCAGGTAGAGGGTGTTGTTGTTGTTGTTGTTAGGTGCCATTGAGTCAGTTCCGACTCCTAGTGACCCTATGTACAACAGAACAAAACACTGCTCGATCCTGCGCCATCCTCTCAGTCTGCTATG